ATCTCTGAATTACTTGGTTAATTGTCGGATATACATTTTTTCCTGAACATATTTCTGTAAACAAGGTTATGGCTTAAAATAAGCAATGATGCGAATTCTCGTTAAAAAAATCCTATTAAATTATAGGCTTGGCTTATCGTCAGTCTGCACAACTGATTAAATAACGCCTCGCAACTAGTGTCTACTCCGATGACGTCGAAAAATTCTGTTTTTTTTTTTACATACATACACCAAAATAGTAAAATGTATATACTATTTAAATTACAAAAAAAAAAAATTGTTGACTTCTTATTGACAGAAAAGTAATGTCTTAAATCTTAAGTTATTCATTACTTTTTTCACGAAGATACGATACACAATTGCCACAATTACCTAATAATTTAGTTTCTCTATCTGTGATGATATTAATGAACGAAATCAATGATTGTTGTGTTGGAATTATTCTAAATATTTGCATGGTGGAATTAGTTGGTAATAGATCTGTAATAGGTCAGAGGTGGAAAATCCAAGGCTCCCGAAAAAAAACCAATGTTAATAAAACTTTCTTATATATGACTGAGATCTCTTTTTCAGTGGAAAAGTCAGTTGATATCGTGCGATTCCATTATGAGGAATTTTGACTGTACATTAAAAATTAAAATTCTTATCTTATTTTTACATACTCATATGATATGTTTTATTAAATGGCAAATAGAAAGGGAAAATAAAAATCAGGTAATTTTTGAACCTTAACTATAGAAAAATTGTCCATCAATTAATACAGTTTCATGGACACTGCGGTATTTTAATGGTAAAAAAAGTTTTTTAAAGAATAAAAATGAAAAAAAATTTTAATGATTCTTTTTTAAAAAATTCAAATTTTTAGTGCATACTAAATCGCTTAAAAGTATATTGTTTTAGTGCATAACTTCCGAGCCCTGTTCATCAGTCATATACACAGGTAAGTACAATTTTAACTTTATATCATTCACTTTCATTTTGTAATAGTACCTAATGTTTCGTAAGAGTAAAGTAATATTTCATCGCGCAAGATACTTGGTATGATTTTTGCCGGCATAATATATATTAACTGTTTTGAGGTGCATAGGTACACAGATATTATGTCAAAACGAAAATCAAGCCAAGTCACTATAATAACGATGTCGCACGTGTACGTACTATGCACTGCCGTTTATAATGTATTACCTATAAGTAACGTATGGAAGTCATCTAGGCTTAAACCAAGCTGTGTAGACTTATAGAAACACAATTAATAAATAGGTAATAATTATTTAATATTAGATATATATAATATTATAATAGCTGATCCCTTGCACTTTGTTGCCCGTTAAAATTGTCAACTCTATATGAGACTCGATGATGATAATGCGAGCAGTATATCATGCCTACCTGCTGTGTATTGTTGAAATAATAGGTTTTATATTTATTTTGATAGCCACCTTGGTAGGCAATGTGTGAATATTCAATTGCATGCATGCTTATACCTGAACTGTCCGATGAATCACTGCAGGCAACCAATAAACAAAAAAAAGAACCATTTCTACTAAATATATTTATATTTCTCCTATAACCATTAGCAATACCGTATATACACAAATATTTTCTTCGTAAATCTTAAAATCTCCGTTTGAACAACTCTCCGGATCGAACCTATCGGGTCCAATTGTGAATCTAAACCATCCAGGATTGTGTCTTGTTAGATTAGTAAAATAAAATAAGATAAACTATCATTTTACTCACCCCCCCCCCTCCCGAAAGACTATCGTCACGTCATGTTGGCGCACATGTTATCATATGTTATAAAGTTACAGGGCAAAAGGTATAGGATATAAGCTTATATAGTATTTCAGTGTATTAACGCCACACTAATGTCATCTCACGTCACGTCACGTTTCCTACCTCACGCGTGATAGCACGTTTTGATTTTCTAGCATTAATAAAAAAAGTAAAATTGAGTAAATTCCATCGTCTATACTCTATAGTAACTACCCGTGTCTATAGTCACGACCCTTCCCGCAGGTTGAGAAATACTGGCTTTAGTTCATGAACCACGAGACTATCCAAGACGATTTCACAAGTATTTCCTATAGACGAACTAAGAGTTTGATTAACACAAAAACAAAATACTCGACTTCGAAAACCTAGAAAATAAAGACGAGTTAGGTTAGACGCGTTACTTTGCTACCGTGACATGATAACAGTGTGTTTCTGATGCATTAAAATATTACGTAAAATGACAGTCAGCACTTTTTTCCTGTCACATGAGCTCACATGACATCATGTGATTACCGGTGAAGTGACAATAGTGTGTTTCAACTAGTGTTTTTACTTACTGAAGAAAGAACGGCCGTTTTTTTTTAAGTAGGCGAGTAAAAGAAAAAAACAAAATATTTCTTAAGATACAAACTATTTTATAATTTTAAATTATTATAAATAAAAATATGAAAACGTATTCATCGATACTGAGAATCGAGATTATTAGTTACTAGAACAACATATAGATTATTAATTTATTGTACTAATACTACTTTATTGGTATTCAGATTGAGAAATGGACATAATTTCAATTAATGTTTGTCTGGCAGGAGTCTGCAGGTCTTGTGATGCATAATGTCGAGACTACTGATCTTCGGTAGGTAATGTATTGTTCTGCACTTTTGTAGTTATTGAATAATTGCCGGAGCAGTATAAAGACGATGCCATTGTTTGAAAGCTACTCATACCAGATGCCGGGGAATGAGTCGAAGCAAATAATTGCTGTTGTGTGGGACATTCGGGACGGATAGTTAAAGAACCTAGCTCCTGATTACACCTTATCGCAGCTGATAATACTGAGTTACTTAATGCGAGTTTAATTTGAGCCTGTTCAAATTTCGGTAATTGTTTTGTCATCCTTGACATACTCAGAAAAAACATGTCCATATCGTCCAGAATTTCAAATTGATTAGATGTTTTAATTACCTCTTGACGAGGACACTTGTCTTCATTCAGACGTTTGAACCAGGTAGATTTTTTATTTTGTTCATCCACAATTGCCAAAACAGCTGCATTTTCCAAGTCTTCTTCCCACTCTGATGAACTACTTGAAGTTTCTCTTTCCATGTTAAATTTAATTTTTGTAAGACACGTGTGTGTTCTGGTGCTCATACCTGAAACAGCGTCTACTGAGTAACAATTGTGAAGTGGCAAAGCATGACAACGTGATAATAAGACTATTGGAAATAGTAAATAACTAGCTGGAAACAGACTGTTGTCACGTCACGTGAGCTCATGAGCTATCACATTGGCACATTTGAACCGTGATCTCATTCTTGTAAACAAACTATTGTGACATTATATTTTATTTCTAAGCATGATATCACTGTTAAAATGAGCCAAACTGATGGCACATGAGCTCACGTGACGTGACAATGGTCTGTTTACGTAGCCGTTTGAACGTAGGTACCTAGCTATTTCTCTATAATTAGAAGAAAATAAATAACTCTTGATATTTGATATTCAGTTTTGACGTATAATAATAAATGAAAATAACTGTTTTTGATATTGAATTAATTGTTGGTAGGTACTTAATATTTAATTTGTACTACTGATCATTTTTATGAATTCATTTATTATTTTTTACATCCAAACGGTAATGTCTCTATTTGAAGTGAAACGTATCTCAATATACCAGTCTTTCTAACGTTGATAAGATTACAGAACCAAAAAATATTACCTACGTAAAATGTATGCAAATGAAAAGTTTAGAATAAATTGTAAAATAAAATATTTTAAAATTTGCTATTTTTCTTATTATTTTTTTTGTGATAATTGTAGTGAACTTAATGATTGTGTTCCTTATCAGTTATTACATATTAGTTATCACAATAATAGTAAAAACTACTTTTATTTTTTGGCTATCGTTTATTATAAGTGGACTATGGAGTTTTACTACAAAAAAATTATCTAGGTGTGTATAAAACTGTGTTGCTATAGTGACGTTGCTTACAGACAAATCTCATTAAAATCGATACATTTTTCTCTTTTCTCAGAGTCTACAACAATAATAAAACGAATAACTTAATTACTTGGTATTTTTAGCGCCTTTCCGGTTTTTTCATATTATGCTGTTCGTTTAGAATGTCGGTCCTAATAATCAGATTACCACGATTGTATAGAACCTGAAAGTTCATGAAATTTTTCAATTAAAAACTCATCCATTTTTAAATTAAAAAAATTGAATTAAGCTTAATTTTACAAACTCAAACCACAACAAAAATTCCATTTTTCTACTACAAAAATCGTAACACCACGCTAGCCAAAAATGTGTTTGATGTTTGAAATCAAAACGTGCTATTCCGGGTGAGGTATAGGAAATGTAACGTGCACGAGTGAGGTGATATTAGTGTGGTGTTGATATAATATTTAAAATTAAAATACTACCTATATAATTCTATATATTCTAACCTTATACTTATTTGACATGCGTTTGAGGTTCAAATGTTGACAAAATCAAAAACGTATTGTATGATTTATCAACGAATTCAAATTTCACATAAACATTACTGTGATTTACTCAACGGCGAGGTTCACTCGACACATATTTTACAGTATAGCGGTTTTCTACTTCCTCTCCTTTTAAAATTAATTTTCAATACTTATATTCTAGCATTGGTGTAGTATCTGATCTAGGTTATACAATTTTGTGGCCTTTTTTGAGTAATAGAATGTCAAAAATCTACAGTTAACTCTTTAAAATGCTATTAACAAGTATTTAACCAAAATAGTTTACTGACTACTATACTTCATATGATATTATGTAACATGTATTATTATTAATACGAGTAAGTGACATGGTAAAGCATGACATAATTATGATATTACTTAGCTTTTATTTTACATGATTACCATATAGTTTAAATGTGCCAATGTAGCTCTTGCAACCGAGCTATTATACTCTACTGACTGTTCAAAGCTTTACTGTCAATATGCAAACTCTGGGTATTTAGATTTGTTACTAAATGATATCACACAATGTAGTTGAATTAGTGCGTTTTAATGACACTGTAGTAAGAACATCGGACCATAGTTAGTTGTAGCATGATTTGTAATACAATCTAATACGTCGTACACTTAAGTACATAGTTATACTAGTGACGAGTGGATGGCATGCATATTTTGTTATTGCTGGCCGAAATAAAAATATGACCACCGTGTTTGGAATTTATACAATGCGTCGTACTGACACTTTGTTTATTATAAAACAGTATTGTGAATATGAGAAATATTGATTAGTTACGAATCTTATGCGTGCCGACTGTGGTTGTCACTGTATTCTGGGAACAAACCGCTTTGCTTATCATGGCTGAAAAACGGAGCACTGGAAGTCGATCTAAGTCAAAAAAGTTGGCAGAAAGACCCGGGACTCTGAGCAACCGCGATGACTTGTCGGGCGGTCTTAACGAAGCTATGGCCGGTGGTAGTGGCCAAGTGGAAATGAGACGTGGTCGCCGATCGACAGTGAGGCGCAGGTCGAAGAGGCGCAGGAGCAGGTCACGGTCCGGTCGCCGTCGGGGCAGGAGACGCAGCGTTGGCAGTGCCGAAGAAGACGACTACGACACGACCACAGACGCTGAGGAAGACGACGACTCGTCAGCGGTGGACGCGTCGTCCAGGAGGAGATCAAGAAGACAGAGGAGGCGACGTCGCCACCAATATCAGGTCAGTAGTGGTAGCGACGACGATGACGACACCGAAACAGAGGCCACCGACGCGACGTCCACCGAAGACGCTTCGTCGTCCAGCGGTGGCGGTGGTGGGGTCACCCTCACGACGGCAGCCTCCGGGTGCGGAAACCCTTGTGGCACCAGACGGAGGCGGAGGAGGAGGCGGAGGAGGAGGTCCTCGAGCAGACGGTCGATGGGGTGCAAAAAGAAGAGGAGGAGAAGGAGGAGAAGGAGAAGCAGTTGCTGTGTCACCGGCTTTGAAGACTCCGCGATCGAAGTCGAAGATATTTTGTCCGACGACTTGGGAGAGGTGAGCAGAACAGCAGGCCACAGGTACAGGTGCACCACACCGAACAACGCCGATCAGGACACAGCCACCAATACTCAGCGAGATGCCGATGAGTCGAGCTTGACGTCCCGTCCGCCCTCCGCCTGAATCGCACAACGCCGCCTGTCCACTTCGCGTTTATTGTTCCGACTTGTTCAATCGTAAATAAATATCCAAATTGATAAATAAATAAATAACCAAATCGTGTAAGTCTTTCCCAAATTGGGGTTATACATCAAAACCGGTAATGTACCTGTACAGCAGTTACAAGTTCTCATTAAACGATGTTTATCTATTACGTCGTAGAATTTTAAGTTCTCGGCGTGTGTATCCATTTTATCAATGGCTAAAGATGTCAACGTAAAGTTGGCAATATTCTTAATCAAACAATGAATACGCGTAGCACCATATCTAACTTGAGGTGACTACGTATATTATCCAATTACTCCAAAAATGTTATGATTTGGAATAAAAAATTAAAAACGCGTGTCCTTATAAAAAATTTTTAAGAAATTTATAATTACACTGAAATGTTTAAAAATATATTTTTTTAGAAAACGTTGTTCACTACAACTTAAAATTATGTAAGAAAAATTCTCAAAAACAACAATACTTTTTGATGTAGGTAATAATAATTAATAAGTGACTTACGTTAAATGAATCACCTAGTACAGGATATAGATTCTTTTCGTCTAAGGTCGATGTAGGTACTTGAAATTATCACTGATTGTAATATCCAGTGATCCTTTTTCACCTGATTTCCAAATATGGGCGAGAATTTGTTTGGGACATTTCTGTTTGAGTGAAGACATTTTTTTAAAGCTCCTCTAATCAGTGCCTCTCATCAGTATGATACATACTAGTAAGTAAATTTATTTTTTCTTCTCACGTTTTAAATTTAAATAAAAAAAATTTTGTTCAGAATCAAAATGAACCACCAACGTATTCATCAAATATAGATCCAATGAATAATTTTTATTATTATTCAAATCAGCAATATTCTTTCTCGTTCTATATCAATAAGTCACCCGCAAAAATCTTCAATAATGTCATTGCATAATATGTTCGAAACATCATCTAAAACGTCGAATATGTAATGACGAACCCACTAATAATAATTGTACCTATCAGATCTTATATTATTTTTATTCCACATAGGTATAATATACTGCAGGACAGCTTGTTTTTCCATAATTTTAAATTTGATTTATTTTCCAATTTAGAATCGAGTTTTTAATTGCATTAACGTTGAATTGAATTTAGTTCGGTTAAAATATATTTTTTGTATATATTATATATTCGTTTCACTTTTATTTTATTTTATGTGAAAAATCGTTTAAAACTGCTCTTGTTTTAATTTAATTTATAAAATATGAGATTTATTTAATTTAAATTGTATGTGAGCATACATTATTTTTATAAATATCCAATTCATATTTTAACATGTGTGTTTAGCTTCAATCACATTAATTGCCCATATATTTCAAATACCGAACTGCTTACCAAGTATTATTTTCTTAAACAGAATAAAATAAAGAACTAATACGAAATGTAATCAACCAATATGTTTAAAATAATATTAGCTTATCTCAGAAGTTACACATATTCAGTCGTTCTGTTGGAGTTATTTTTACCTAAGTAAATGATACAATACGAACTGTTGTATCATCAACAATATTATATGTAAATACAAATACTATTAATAGTAAGACTATTAACCAAGTTAAGAAAAGTACACTTATGCCATATCGAACAAAATTTAGTGTTATGTTTTCATCAGTGAGTATAATTAAACAATAGGTAGCAAAATAAAAAATAGGTTAAACTCTACTATATGGGTGACAAATGTAGATTATTTAACAGCGATGTGGTCACTGTAGGACAAAACGCAACAAAGTATTCTATTTTTATTGTGTGTGTGTGTTGATTATTGTAGGTACACTGGAAGCGACCCGAGCTTAAGCGACAAAACTTTTTGAATTTAGTTCAAGTTTGGGTCATAAATCATCAAAATGTCTGATAAATATCTGAAATTAATTTGAAATCGACATTGTAGTGAACGCTACTTTTAAAGACCTTTTGGAGGTGACCAATAATATATTTATTTAACGATCATTTTAACTAAAGTTCTTTTTTTTTATATATAAATATACAGTGAAAACTCTTTATAACGAAACTCTTTACAACGAAAAACTCTATATAACGTAAACATTACATATTAATGGTTGGTTTGCTACATAACCCATTAGACAATTCATTCTCTATAACGTATCAGTCACTCTCAATAACGAAACAATATTTTATGTTTCATAATACAATTTACGTGTTATCGTATCTATTACATATATAAACTATAAAAATAATCGGCAATAATGCCGACATTTCCAAGAACGATTACATTCTTTCATTATTTGTAAAAATAATGATGTGTTTGATATATAATATTACATACATACATACCTTTATACATAAATAATTAAAATTTTGTTTTCTTTAAACCCTCTCTATTACGAAAACTCTCTATAACGAAAGAAATCTCTTAGTCCCTTCAGATTCGTTATAAAGAGTTTTGACTGTATGTATATAATCGTAACATGTCGCTTTTTTCTTCGGCGATTGATATTGACTCATAAATTACGTGGTGTTTAACGTCGTGAATTCTGAAGCGAAGCGAAATATGACAATATTATAACAAGAGACTAGCTCTATATATAAGCTCCACGCGAGGAACAAAAAATACACGTCGTGTGGCATACATGACGATGCACGTCCATGTCAAGTGTACCCGAGTGCGATTCATTCGAAATTGAAAAGATTTTCTTTAGCCAATTTTAAATTGAAATCTATTTTATTATTTTTTTTTTTTGATTATTATTTCCTAAAATAAAAAAATTGCCCAAAAACAACTATGTTCGGATTAATGTCCAGACAACCTTTAGCGCTGCCGCTAAAAAACGAATAGTTTTTTTACGGGTATAATAAATGACGTGTGTAAAACACCGTTTTCGTTTTCAATTTTCTTGCGCCCCATGAGATTTGGAACATCCGGCTCTCAAGTTTACGTGATCAAAATATCATATACAACATCCGAACGACGCGCATTATTCAATGTATATACCTATTAACACTTACGTAATTTCACGGCGGAAACAAAATAAATAATTCGTAAACAATAATAAATGCACGTTAACCAAATAATCGATTTGTTCTCTCCAATATTTCCGAATCTATTATACGAATTTAAAATGTGAATAATTGGTGTCCATAATAATAATATTCATGAAGCCTAAATCGGTTTCCGAACTCTCCGAGATAACATATTCGTATTTATCGTTTTGTTACCGTCATGGTAAACCAAAAAATACAGTTATTATACCGTTTATTTATTTAATATACTACTGTATTATTATTATTATTATTATTATTATCGGTTTATTATGGTGTATGTGAAAACAAGATATTTAATATTATGATAATAATAAGCAGCACCAAAGGTTAAGACACATTATTTCCGCCGATGGGTGCATAATATTAACGATCTGTGGAACTGTAATTCTTGAATTATATTTCACATTGAAACAATAAACAATTATTATTAATAATAAACTGTTATATACCTACTTTAAGTATAATTATCAACGTGAATTGCAAACGAACTTGAATATTGATGTATTTTTAGTTTCTATTGCTCCTGAAGGTGATTTTAAAAGAGAACAAATTTATTCCGAATTCGCATTTATTATATCATTGATTATTATTGTAATAATTTATAAAGTTACATTTGTTTATCATATATTGTTGCCATACACTTTTTACTCAATACCAGCTAACTGCAGATCGACTTAAATAGGTTTGTGGTATAAAAAGAATATTTTAAATAACAGACAATAGCTGTTTTTAAATTTCATGAAAATCGATCTCATGTATCGAAATTTGTCAAAATGCAAACTTCAGTGTCACTAAAAAAAATCGTTCACGTATTTTAAAGATTTTAATGTTTCAGTAAAAAGTTAATAACTACCTGTTTGATTTTCAAGCTTTACTTCTAACAATTAAAAATATATTTTTATGCTAGAAAATAAAATGCAAACTTTCGTTATGTTGACGACTATTGTGAAATTTCAAACGTCCCGTATTTTCGACATTTTTAAATTGCTATAAGTTAAACACGCTGCAGATAATCTTGTTTTAAAATAAAAAATATTCACCAAGTAACCATTTCTTTATTCATAAATTTTAAAAAACTATGACAATTTAAAATACTTAAAAAATATATTAAAACTAATCTAAATATTTTTTAAATCTCAATGTGCATAGCGATTAGCGAATGATAATTCGAATACCAGTGAAGTTGCAAATGTTTACAATCAACACATTTTTTAAATGATTGAAAAGTAAAATTGGTTTTAAAAAAATTGTAATTGAATAGCACATAAAAAAATATATGTGGCTATTATTACACCATTTCTTTTTTTTTATTCCCAGTTACAACTTATAAGACATTGTTATTACATTATAAAGCCTTGGGTTAAAATTAAAAATGTTATAAGTTTTCAATAACTAAATAATAAGATTTCGAAATATCGGTCAATTTAATACACATTATTTGAACTTTAAACGCTTATTAATTGAATCACGACCATGTAATTTCGATATTTTTAAGTTGATATTTGAAAAACGTATGAGGAATTTTCAATTACAATTTCAACATTTTTTACCGAAAAAACTCACATTATACATTGATATATTGCCTCGCCGACGTAATTATTAATTTTAAAAGATAATTAAAAATGTGTAGGTATTAGGTACTCAATTCTGAATTTAAACTGCGACAAAAGCTTCGACTGAAAGGTGTTTTTCTAGTGTGAAGTGTTTCAAAACATATTTAGTAAAATCCTGCAGCAAATATTGAAAATCGATTAAATTGTTTGACTTTATTTTAAAATATCCATGCTTCATAGTAATATTGAAATGAATATTAA